TTAGTTTCCCTTGACAATGGCGCCAAGATGTCGCCGAAACGTCGGATTTGTCTATCGTTAGTTTTTGCCTCTATATGTTTATCTAAATCATTGTTGATTAGAGTTATCAGTCTTGATAGTTTAATTTGGTTGCTCTGTATTTTAGAAGTGGTTTTAGTGTCTATATACTATGGAGTCTTTTTTGACAGACTGCAGTTGATTATGGTCTGTGAACAATGTTTTGAGTCTGGGAAAGGTCAGGAAAATTTTGTTACCTTGAGTGTGGAAACCATGTAATTAAAACAAATATATTTCAGTTTCTCAGTTAGCATGGTATCTGGTTTTTAACTTTCAGTTGTATTTTGGTTTTTCAGGGATTCCCCTCAAAGAAGATGCAGAGGGCATTGGAAAACAGGTATTACCAGGCTGAAAGAAAGTTGGAAACTATTGGTTCAGACTCAAATAGCCAAAATCAAGTTCCAATGAGGGTAAGAGAACTTTCGCTCTTTCAGCTTTGAAACCAGACCTTTGTACTCATCTTGAGAGAGTTCACCAGTGTAATCATCAAAAATGGCTTTCGTGGTCTTGGCCGAGGGGGTGTAAAAGAGAATGATTGCCGTCATGTTCTCCCGGAAGGAAGCTGTTATGCCAGTCATCTTCTGAGTCAGCACCCAAACGCTGATGCCCATATGTCGAGCAGAAAAGGCGAGATTCACCAGCTTGCCTGGACGCCCTTTCACATCTTTTGAGGCTGCGCAGTCATCGAGTATTATGAGCGTGTTGGTGCCCTCAAAAAGCCATCTCACTAGCTTCGGCCATTTTTCCACATCGTGCTGCTCGCATACTATCACATTCATTCTTGGATCATTTTCACCAATTCTGCGATAGGTCTTGTTGTGCGTGAATGTTGGGCAGATGAGCACAATGTAGTTGAACTTGAAGCGGAAAGGTCCGTAGATCTGGTCCACCACAAACCTTGATTTGCCTGAATTAGTCGGTCCCACAATGAGAGCGTTGAAGGGTATCTTGCTTGGGTCCATGTAATATTTAAAACTAAAGATTTTAGCTGTCTGTCCATAATGTTGAACTGGGAGTTGGAGATTACGAATACATGGCATTTCACGTCGCCTGAGCCTTTGGCTTTCCGCTCAATTTCCAGCTGGACCCCGTCTGTACTTTTCACAATGCACTTGCCGCTGCCGTGCAACGACTGATCTGCCATGGAGCGCATGTCAATCACAAGCCCGAACTTATCATCAGTGTAAAACTTTGTCACA